AAAAGACTAAATAGCATCCTAAACTCTAGCTTACTACACCATCTAACGAGAAAGTGTCATAACCATCGTCTAAGTGAAAAATCAGTCTTCGGGTAAAGTAAGACTTTGATCGGGTCGTTTTACCGGCCCCGTCCTAAAGATCCAAGGAATTTAAAAGGTGTCACCCAATGTGGATTTTGAAAGAATTTGCCTTATATATGGTCTAGTTTGCGACATGCACAATTTTTAAAGTATATTGGATGTAGTAATATATAATAAGTATTTTATTATTTTTTTTTAGTTTTAAAATGAGGGTCATTAAATGTGAGTCTGTAACATGTAAGATGACACAAGTTAGATTTATTTGGATCCTTAGCACAGTCATACTTGTGTCAATTTCGATGACTTAACTCACATTGTTTACCGATATCGATCCTACAAGCAATGCTCGTTAAGGCATCGCAACCGACACAGGAGTCACTCTCCTATCAAGCATGGTTTACAATCCACGCGAGCATACAAAATGAGAATGCAAGCGGTTAGTTCACATAAGTGGTGACAGAGAGTATGTCGTGAATGCAGTGACTCGAAAGGATAGGCGTGTCGTGGAAGCAAGAGCCCAACGAATGGGTGAGTCGTGGAGGCAAGGGCCTAAAGAGGTGCAGAACACAAATGATAGTGATCATGCAAGCTAACACATACAGGAAGCAATACATCATGCAAATAGGTAAACAAGCACATATAAATGCAAAAAGCATATAAGTATGCAAGTGATTGGTCGGCCGAACCGTGGTGGCCGGTAAAACCAAAGTGGTCGATCAGTAGGGTTGAGGAGGTTGTTCAAACCAAATTGAACTGCCAACCGGGTCGGAGCGACCGGTCAAGACGAAGTGAAGTGTGGAATAGGTCGGAGCGACCATTCGACGCAAAATGAGATGGTTATCGGGTCGGTGCGGCCTGTCAAAGCTAAAAGAAATGTCAAACGGGCCAGAGAGGGAACCAAAACAAAGTATGGATTGGGCTGAGGGCGGCTAGTCGAAGCGAAGTAAAATGTCGATCGGACCGAGGGAGGCCGGTCGAGGCAAAATGAAATGTTGACCGAGCCAGGGCGGTCGGTCAAGGTGCAAGTGCAATTACGAGATGAAACATGCAAGTGTGAGGTGCGAGGTGCGAGGTGTGACATGCAGGTGCAAGGTGCGAGGTGCGAGGTGCGAGGTGCGGTGCAAGTGCAACGTGCAAGTATGAAGTGCGGCATGTGAATACGACATGCAAGATGCAAATGCAAACATGCTCGATAGCAAACCAGGCTCGTGTTAATGCCCTCACTTAATTACCTAAAGGCTTGTACACTTGGATATGTGGCGTAGCCGCCTCCTGCTTAAGCGAGGCATGTGGAGAGTTTCTCCCGGAGAATTCTTAGGGAAAACTCTCCATGATGTTGTGAAATGGGCTAGCTACAAAGTTTTTCTCATTTCACAACTCCTCAAGACTTTGCAAAATGAGCCAGCTACAAAACTCTCATTTTGAAAAACCTAACTCCCAATTTCTCCAAGGAAAATTGGAGCATCCAAAGCAAGGGGGGAAGGGACTCCAACCCGTAGGGATTTGTGCTAAGGCACACAGTAAAAAGGGTTCACTCCGCTCTACAAATGGTACTTACCCACGAACGGAAAATTCTAACCTAAAGGCTTGCTCTAGGAAAAACAACTGATCTATCACATAGGCACGCGGTCGGGCTGCCTCACGCAGGCGCGCGCATCCCGTGTGGGCAATCGAACTCACACGGCTAGTTACACTAACCCTAGGGCTAGCTTGATATAAAACTTTCATAAATGAGAATCTCACCACCGCGAAGGTTGTAGACGTCCAACGAAGCCCAAGAAGAAGCTCTCCTCGAGAAGGAATAGAATGTCCACACTTTTCTACGTTACAGTTCTGTCTCTATCCATCGAGGGCGCTAGCGGCATGAAGCTCTTGGACCAAAAGGCCACGCCGCCAAGCAAGAGGAAGCTCACGGCAGAAGGCCGAGGAAAGAGGGCTGCTCAGGTGGCGTATGGCAAGGAGTATGAGAGGGTTAAGGAAGGCGCTGACAAGAGGTTTTAGTGGAGAAACTCACTGGCAGCAAGGACACAGCGGCAAGAGGTATTTTCGGCCAAGGGGGATGGTGGATATAAAGGTCTTCTTTTTGTGTGTGTTTTTTTTTCCACGGTTTGAGTTTGAGGGGGCGGGGATGCAATGTGGTCGGATGCCAGAGGTGGCGTAGGCGACAAATGCGGCATCGACGCGGGATGGAAGTGTGAGGGGCTAGGGCAGAAAGTATCGGGGAACTGTTCACGTGAGAGGAAGAATCGAAGAAGGGGTTACCGGCGTGAGGAAGAGATGTTGGCGAGCTCACTGGCGGCGTCACCGGCCGAGAGGGGAGACAGCGCGAGGGAATGCGATGGAGTTTTCGCGAGAGATTCCTAGTGCACGCTCAAATTCGCGATCGGGAGGGTGAGAGTCTCGGCGGTTTGGCGACGTCGGCGGGGTGCCTTCACCGGCGAGGAGGACAGGCCGACAAGGGATTCACGCGAGGGGGGGTCGGCCGACGGCTAGGGCTTCGTGAAGGAGGGATCAAAGGAGGGAGGGGTTCAGTCCGGTGAGGAAGGCGGCGTAATCGGGAAAAATCTCGTTGCCCGCGTTGGGTAGTTAGGGATTTAATAGGAAATGTCTTTAAAAAAAGGAAAAAATTAATTTCATCTGCATCGATTTGCGTGTTTTCGGCTCATGCACAAAACCATAGCAAATTGGGTGTCTTTTCCGGGTAAAATCAACATTTCAGACGCACTGGAGCAGTATGTTTCGTCATCCAGGGGCATTCAAATAAATTTATTGACAGTCAGGCCAACTTTAAGTTTGATTCGTGTGTGACGCGGAGAATGCAATTCGTCAGTCCAGTCAGAATTATATGACAAGTAAAATGTCGACTGACATTCACTAAAAATGAGGTCAACACATGCGTTATTGAAGTAAAACTGCTAAGAAGGCCTCAAAATAATGTTAATAGGGAGGATGAGCAATGGGATATGGTTTGGATTTGTGGAGATGAAAAAAAAAATCTCAAGGTAAGGGTCAGGCTAGCAATGCAAGGGCCCAAATCTAAAATTCCTAACTCAAACTTTTAGCTTTATGTGTGAAAGATCTAGGTAACCGTAGGGCTTCAAATCACTTATAAAACTTAGTTTAGGATGTCGAAGTATGAATTGGAGGTTTTCATTAATTTTCTAGCATTTTGATATTTTTTTGAGATTTTATAGTAAGGCTAGGTCATGGAAGAACCAAAGCTAGCCGCCAATTTTTAGGTGGATGTATGTCCTTTTTGTGGATGAGTGGATGAGTTTAGGGCTAGAGAAAATTTGAAAAAACTAACATAATTGATAATATAATATACCTTGATTGGATTAGGAGCTTTTCACTATTTCTCAAGCGGTAAAGAGTGGCCTATTGGTCAAGAAATAAAAACGAGTTCTAGTTTGTCCTAGACTTGCTAATCACCTAAAGGTATAATTTACTAAAGTTTTTGTGGGAGATTAGGGTAGGAAATTTATGAAGAGGTAAAAGAACGGTAGAATAAAGCTTTCGCAGTATGAAAAAAAGCAAAAAATTGCATGACAAAATCAACTTATCACTCACCAAAGCAATCGCATGTAGGAGATCACCAAGTCCCCCACCTTGACTCCCAACTCCTTTAAACAACTCCATTTTTCCAATCAATTACAACCCTTTCTTTCATCGAACCAATAAAAAAAATCCAAACAAAAACCCTAAGAAAATTTTAGAAATAAAGGAAAGAAGGAGAGATGGGATGACCCAAAGTTTGATTGGAGGGAAAATACTCACCCCTTTGATTAGCGCTACCCTCATAAAATAAAAAAATAATAATTAACTGCGCGCATTCAAGGGCCCATTTGGGGCAGCTTATATGTGTCGGGGCGTTTTTGAAAATGCCGTGGTACCGTTTGGATCGGGGGTTTTGCCCGCTTATCCGAAAGCGCGGTTCCATTTTTACACTAAATGCAGACCGCGGGTCGAACCCCGCGGTCGATCAGCAGACCGCGTTTCAAGATAAGTTGTTTATCCTGAAACTCACAAGCTACCACAAACGCACCCTTAGGGTATAATATTCACATATAATTTGAAATTTTCAATTCAAATGAAATTTAAATTTCAAATTTTCTACATGAGTCCATTAATATAAGAACATAAATATGGTTTGACAAAAAAAATTTTTGCAATAAACATAAGAAATTCAACTCCTAAATAAATTAGGTTTTACTCATGCTTCTTATGATTGGTCCAGTTGTCTTCCTACTTTGATCATTTATGAACGATCCAGCAGCTTCTTGTGATGCATCATCTTGATCTTCTGACCCCAATGATAAACTTGATATAACGGACATTGATTGGCTACGCTGTAATCCCAATCCCAAGGGTCCAACCAAATTCACCAATAGTTTCGTAAGCCAGTTAGACTTTGATTTAAGAACTGAGAAAGTGATGTCAAATACTTTGATTTATGAAATGAATCATAGATTCATAAATTGAAACACAAATACCAAAAAAGCTCTATCAGAACAAAAATAACCAACATGAATAGAGAAAAAAACCAAAACAAACCGAATAAGATAAATGCATTATTAAGCGCAGGAAAATCTGTACAGATTGTCAATAGAAGTATAGTCCATCCGATGCATTTCATCATAGTAATTATCTTAAGAACATTTTTTTTTTTTCACACGGAATACTATGCTGCTTGTTATCCTACACTTCCATTACAAACTAGTGAAAGAAGAAAACCCCACCTGATAGCTCTGGTATCGGGCCAATCCAACCGCGGCCTACTTTTCTCAGGTTTAGGGTTTAGGGAAAAAACAAAAACAGTGTAACTATTTTCAATTAAAGAATAAACTAGGCGATCGGATTCGAGAAATGGAAGAAAAAATGTCAGCAAGGTTTAGGAAATGAATGCTATGATAGTATACCTAGAGTGAGAAAAATGCAGCAGCAGCGGTGGATCTGAGAAGTAAAAGAGTGGTAAAACTCAGCCGACCACTCTCTCTCTCTCTCATCCCACGATCCCGACCTCTTTCTCCGCCTATCTTTCAACCGCCTCTGTTTCTTTTGTAAAGAAGAAGAAAAGCGCACTCACGGCAGAAATACACTGAAGAAGAAGGTGGTCTTCCTCGCAAGTTTCTTCTCACTTCTCTGCTCTGGCGTATTTAGGGCTTAGGGTAGAGCAGAAATGGGGAAGCAGATGGTTAGATTGAGAAGTTCGATCGATCGAAGTAGATGGCGCCGATTGAGGAAGATCGGTCGCCGCTGCGAGGGATGAGGGGCGGCGAAGTGGATGGCGCTGACAGCTGCGTTTTGGGAGATTTTCCGGCGCTGTGAAGTACGCAAAAGTTGACTCCAAACGGACAGTCGGCTTGCGGGAAAAATATTATATGAAAACTCGTGTTTAGATTACAATAGCCACAAATATTTTGCTGTCTTGTAGAAATATTTTATCTATGTTATCTATAAAAAATGAATAATTATTCGAATATTATATGATATTCAATTATTTTACGGTGTTATTGAAATATTCATTTGCGTTACTTGATTTGGGGCTGAGGTGTTATTGAAATATTCCCCCATATTACTTGATTTGGGGCTGTGTTATCTTTCCATGGGTGGGGTGATTTGTGTGTGTGTGTGTGTGTGTGTGTGTGTGTGTGTGTGTGTGATGTTTAGACGCTCGTATAATATGAAAAAGATAATGTGAGTTGCACGAAGATTTAAGAATTAATAGATTTAAACTAAATTTGAGTTTAAGAAGTATATCTCTTTTGGATTTTTTTATTATTATTTTAAGAACTAGCAAATATGTATTAATATTGGAGGAGGGAGCTCAAGCCACAAAAGAAACATAATTATTATTATTGAAATTAAAATCGATTACGGCGACGACTCTTCAACATAAAATAAATGATAACAAACACAAAACAGGTGATGCATAAACAAACACCTCGAAAGTGTATCCCTAGGGCAGTGGAGGTTGTACTGGTGGATTTGGAGGCTTGGGACAGAGAGAGCGGCGGAAGGGGTAGAAAGGTGTTGTGGAGGAGGGAGGCAGTAGGTTAGGGTGGCGGGAAGGTTTATTGAGGGACTGGAAGGTAGGATAGAAGGGGGACAGCATGCTGGGAAGGTGGGACAACAACTAGAAAGGCTTATCGGCACTCTAGGAGGGTGCAGAGTGAGCGGGGAAGCGCATACAACAATGGAAAAGTACGTAGGAGTGTAGCTGGTGAGGGAAAACTGCAGCTAGAGGAACTGACACAAGCTGACAGTTAAGAGGAGGAGAAGGTAAGGGTTGAGAAGGTGAAAGAGAAGAATAACCCACCACCTTAGAGTCTGATACAGCCGGAGCACCACCACCTTCTCATATACAGCCTTAGAACAGGGAGAACAACTTCAAAAAGGAATTTGAAAACAACATACAACAACAAAACTAACACTAACTTTGAAAACAACAAATAAATAGCTTATACATGATGGAAAACAACAAATAAATAGCTTATACATGATGGAAAAGCAAAAAAGGAAGGGAGAGAGGAGCGGCCCCAGGGCGCTCGGCCTAGAATCACCCTAGATCGACCTTCAATTGGATAGGGCGAGCCAGTCAACTGCTCCTGCAAGTCCGGGAGTCTTTTATACCCATGCGCGCACACACATAAATATGATTATACATAATTTGTTTACTTATTTTCCTTAATCTAGCCCACATGTCGAAGTGACTAAGGGTCTGTTTGGGGCTAGTGCAGATTTGGTGATAATTCACTAATAAGCAGCTGATCTAGATGAGATATTGATCAGTAGTTGATCCCGATAAGTTAGATGTCTCTTTGATTTGTGTGTTTGGAGAACAACTGATTTGCAGTTGTTTCTATATAAATGAGCATTCTGCCTCTATACAATAATGATGTTTACGACAGAATTTTTATAGCTATAAATTAGATACTTTAGAAGCAAATAACCACTTATTAACACTACAAAAAAAACGATATACACCTCACTCAATAGAGAGTGCGCACATTACTAAAAAAAGGAAAAAATAATTGATATATAACTATTTGATTTAATATATAGTAAATTAATATTCATAAAACTATTTATAAATAGATATATATATATATATATATATATATATATATATATA